TACCGAAAGAGAGGATACCTCAGAGGGGTGACCTTAGAATGTGTGGCTTCCAAATTCCAAATTAAAATAAATGTGGTTTGTGGTGGGGAAATATTCAAGTGGCGTCAGCTGATTTGAACCTAGAGAACAATTACCACCAAAGTAGCATCGCAGTTGGGAAAAAAAAGAAAAAGTTAATAGCACATATATACTTTAACTTCTACTTTGATAATTTTAAGAAAAATACAAAAGATATATAATTAAATATTTATAAATTAATACAATTGGGACAATCAAAATTCTATTAATTTAGTAAAATATTAAATTATCGAACTAATAATTTAGTATTTTAAACATAGTCGGAACCGGAAAGAAATATTATTTAAATAAAGTTATTAAATTATCGAATATTAATTTATCGAGGTTCTACTGTAGAATTAATGTAAACCATTACCTTGTTATGGAATAGTACATGTATATTTTTTTTTTCGAGAGATGGGATAGTACATATATTGAATTACAAGTAAAGAAGAAATTAAAAAAATGAAGACTATTTTTTTAGAGCAAATTACGGTCATCTATGAGGTATGGTCAAATTATGGAAAAACTTTATTGTTTTGTCAATTATAGTCACTTCCCTCCTTTTAAATATATTTACATAAAATTTATGTAATTCGTATATTTATCGAACCAAATCGTATATCCAGTTCGGTAAACGGTATGAAATGTTGGCGTACCAAAACCGAAATTTTAGTTCGGGTTTTACCGATTTAACATCCTTAAATTTATCTCTGTAGGGATTTTTCGTAAGATAATACATAATCGAGGGGTTGCTGTAATTACCCAAATAGAAGGGGGTTTTCGTAATTTAACCATAACTCAGGGAGCGCCCGTAATTTGGCCTTTTTTTTAAGCAGAAGACAAGTGACTATCTATTACTTTTAGGGGTGGGTTTGGTAGGGCAACCGTACCAAACCCGTCGAATCACTACCACTACCGAACTTTCGGTATTATAAAATTCATTACCATTGCCCTGCCAAAAAGTTCGATATACCGAAATTCGGTATACCAAAAGTTCGGTACGGTAGGGTATGGTAATGATACTTACCATGTTATCTACTATTTAAGTATAAATTGAATATCATTTTTTCAAAGCAATTCAAGGTATACATGTTTAAAATGTAAAAAAACTAGTTTTTTAAAATATAAGTATTCTAAATATATGATCTTAATTTACCCAATCTAAAATATTTCTTAAATAAAATTATAACATAAATTTTTTTAACATCAATTATATCATTATTAATGAAAGCAACTTAAACTAATGTTGACATATCTAAAGAGTATAATTAATTTTAACTAATAGTAGTTAATTAGGATATTATATTAACTTTTTATATATGATAAATGAATTATTAAAATAAGATTTTATTTTTATTAATAATATTTTGGTACGGTATGGCAATATACCATGTTAATAATATTGAGTGCAGTTGCCCTACCAAAATATTTCGATAGGGTACGGTAATAATTCGGTAGAAATATTTCAGTAGAGAATTGGTAGAGTTCGGTAAGGCAACGGGTTGATAGGGCAATTTGGTAAATAAAAACCCACCCTAATTACTTTTGTTGATTTATGTGTATATAAATCTACAACTGACTTTTATGTGTTATAGAATTTAACTTGTAAAATCAGAAATAAAAACACACACGATATTAATGGAGTTGATATTGATGTAGTTCGGATATAAATGCACCCTACGTTAACGAGGACCTGCAAACAAGATTTCACTAATTCGGATCTAACTATTCATAATAAGACTTAATAAAAACATTAAAGATTCCCTCTATATGTTGTACGCCGTTCTTGCACGTGACTCGAACTTGTTGATCTTAACAACAGTTTCTACATCCGCCCCTTGGACGGATTGACCTCTCCCGAGATCTTTTATCACTTGTTCCAAAACGCCGATCATCTTTATGGAATAAAAATATTCTAACTTAAAATATGGAATAAAATCAATGACTATTTTCTACACCAAGCAACCCGAATCTTCAAATTAATCTCAAGAATCTCATGCCAACAACTTCAAATCAACTGAATCAACGATAAATCAATCTAGTTAAATTCAAGTAAGCAAAGTCACAACCTAGTGTATTTAGCCATAAACCAGTGGTTAAATTCAATGTATACATTTAATTAACCTCGATATAGCTAACCTCGTAACAATATAATTGAACGTGTGCTGTCGATACAACGTTGGATTTTCGTCAAAATGATGTACGAAGAACTTTAGTCGATTAAAAAGACGGGTCGTAGCTATCAAAACTTATATACATATGGACTTTTATCTAATCTTATGCCCCTAAACTTTTACATGAAGTGGTCATTCAACATGGTACAAATTTCAATCTAACAACCATCCATAACAAAGTTTTACGTGCAAGACTTCAAAATGTAACAAGTGTATTACTACTAGTGGAAGTGTGGAACCATGAATTTAAGTCTCGATATTTCAGAAATGTTTGGGGGGCCATTACCCCCTCAACCCCTATACGGACTCGGTTACCTAGCTCTGTGTTACCTAACAGTTTAAGCTTTTAGATAAAATGATAAATACGTAAATAAATATATATATATATATATATATATATATATATATATATATATATATATATATATATATATATATATATATAGCCTCAAGATCGGGTGATGAGAGAGGGAGGTTGCCAACCTGAAGAGGGATGGGAGTCATGTGGCTTAGATAACAATTGCAATAAATACATCACCAATTTAATTTTGGGACCGCTTTGAAAATATATGCATCCTTCATTAACTACTTATTGCTTTCCCCCTCTACCATTCACTCTCAGATTAATCTACCTACTTACTTTCCTGCTACCAAATTTATTATTTATTAATCCCCCAAATAAAGAAAAAATAAAATATTAAATCATATTAAATAAAATAAAATAAAACTCGCAATATGCTAGTTGTCAATGTTTTTTCATTTCAGTCCCTCACGCAAGAAGTTACATTGTCTTTAATTTCACCAAAAGATATAATCTTAATACCAAAACTTGTTGCACCAACATAATGCCGCCAATCTGTATTTTTTATTTTATTTTATTTTATATACATA